TTTTTTTTTTCATATTGTATTAAACTATTGAACTTATTTAATGAACTTGGTTGCTGTTATATCTTTATCTAATCTAAAAGTTATTAATTGAATATTTTTATATTCTGTTTTTTTTTTATTCTTTAAAATTTTTGCTTTTCTTCATGAAAAGGAAGTTGATGTGTTTCCATTATTTTTTGTATATAGATATTAGACGAGATACGCGAGATGCATCTTCTAGACAACAAGTTGATCCAGAGGGAGAACCACAGAGGCCACTTCGTCGTCTTATTCGGGGGCCTCGTAAGGTTGCTCATACACAACATCAGCTACCCAGCTTGAGCCAACCTCCCGCACACCAGCAGCTTTCCAGTTTGACTCAACTTCCCACACAGTTGTAGCAGGAGCAACCCACAGTTACTCAGCCACCATTGGACGATGACCAGTACACTGGTGATGATGCAACAATGGAGGAGGACACTGAAGAGCGTAATTTGGAGGCTGAGTTGGATGGTGAGTTTGCTATGCTTGATCTTGAGTTAGATGTTTAGCTAGAGGAGGAGTTATCACGTGCTGTCCTGAAGACAGGACGTGGCACGGATAAAGGATATGACGCTCCTACAGACCCGAGTCAAAGGAGGATGCTTAGCCTTAATCACTGAGGCACATTTAGCCATGAGAGGTTTGGGAAGACTGCCATAGTAATATGAAAGTACTTGTATGATAAGCCAGTGCTTTTTTGGTCTAGCTGGCCTAAGGAAAAGAAGAGGGTTGCTTGGGAGAATTTCCAAGTATGAAAATTATAGAATAAAATGAAGTATTTTTTGAGAATTTATTTAGATGCTATCATTTTATGTTATGGCATTTGATATGGAAGTACAAAGTCTATTTTAATGATTTTTTATATTTTATTTATTAATAGTGAAAAAATGATAATTTAAACAAAACTTTGCTCTTTTTTTAAGAAAAATCAAATAAATTATTAAAATTTAATTATATTTTTTTTCATTGCAGAGGACATATTATTGGGAAGAAGATGATGCCCGTGTGTATAAAATTTGGAGATTACATTGTCAATACCGTTTCCGAGACGAGCTTCATCGAGCTCGAAAGGCGTTGGTCAAGTACAAGAAGTTGCACAAGTTCATGCATAAGGATACCTTTAAAATTTTGTTAGCAAAATGGAGGAGTCCAAAATATATTGCACTCCAAGAAAGAGGTTGGCAAAACCGAGCAAAAGGTGATCGTGTGACACACACAACTGGATGCCTTTCTATTGGGATCCACGAGAATCGACTAGTTAGTAAAATATACTTATATATATACATATATAAATTATTTTTGTTTACCATAAAAATGGAAATGTTATTGATTTTATTGATGTTTTAATAGGTAGCTAAAATAGGAGGAGTTAGGTCGACACCTTTAGAATCGTACTTGTTGACTCACACGACTCGTCGACCTGATGCTCTAGAAGATGCCCCACCCACTTGGATATGTCCACAGGTGGAGCAGACATATGTAAGAATCTGATTCTTTTATGATATTAATTTTATTTATTTTTAATGTCAATTTTGATCAAAAGAAGAAAAGTGATACAATTTTTTATCCATTGTACTTAGGAAATAATTATTTTTCATTTGATTTCCCATTATCATTTGAAATTGCTAACTAATGAAAATTTTATTTTTGAAACAAAACGATGCTCACCAAAAATATGTGGACAAGCATGGGCCAAACAAGGATTCGTGGCCAGAATGGGATCCATTTATCTGGAAGGAGGTGGCTGGACCTCCTAAAAAGGGTTAGATGAGAGGGATGTTTACATTACAGGATCCAGCAGAGCATGGCATCCCTTGGCGACGGTATGACATGAGTGATGCCTCCTCTTCTACCACTAGGATTCTTACGACATAGGTCCAGCAGTTACAATTTGAGCTTACTTAAGTTTAGGAAGAAATGGCTAAGCGAGTTCAGACAGAGGTGGCCATACGTATTCATACAGAGGTATCATAGAGAGTATCGGAGATGGAGGCCAGCTTTGAGAGGAGATTCCAAGAGCACATGTGCTTACTTAGCCAGCAATATTCTATGAATGCTACACAACCCCAGACTGGTTATCCTTCTTTTGCACCACCCCAGACTATTGATCCTTCTTTTGGAGGATTTAGACCTGATCACTTACCACCTCCTACTTAGAGACATTAATATTTTAAACTTATATTACATATGTTTATATATATGTACTGCATACGTATATATATGTTGTGTAGGATGAGAAGTTAGTATATATTTATTAACTTAAACTAGTTTTTAGTTATGTAGTATTTGAGTTTAAATAGGTAAAATATATAATATTAATCAAATTTAACAATCCTGTAGTAAAAAGAAAAAAATTACAATATAATATTTCGCAAAGAAATAGTATATATATATATATATCTTTATCTAAACTAGAATTTTTATAATTAATTATTAGCTCAAAAAAAATTGGTTCTTATTACTTTTAAAATCAAAAATTTTACAAGAGAATTAATAAAAAAAACTCAAAAGAAAAACCAAAAAATAATTCAACAAAAAAGAAATAATTAGATAAATCAAATTGTCAATTAGTTTAAAGAGATAGTATATTTGTTTAAATATAAGGATTAAAAAATAAAAAATAAATAAATAAACTGTGACTATATTCGATAGCTAATATGGCTGTTGAATATAACGCCGACCTTGCCTTCTCAGTAAAAAAAATTGAATTTCCTAGCAAAAAAAATAAATTAACTAAAAAAACTGTAATTATATTCGACAGCCAATATATGGTTGTCGAATATAACGCCACCCCCCACCTCCTCAGCAAAAAAAAATTAAATTTCCCAACAAAAAAAAAATTGACTTTCCTAGCTACTTAAATTTCAAACATATTCGACAGAATTTCTTTCAAATATGTTTGAAATATAAATGCCACTCTGACATTAGAACATCTCATTGTCTTCTGATTTTCATCTTCTTGCCTCTTCCCTTGTCCTTCTCCTTCTCCTTCTCCTTCTCCTTCTCCTTCTTTCCATAGGTAACATCTCTCTTTGAGTTTCTTCTCCTTTTTTTTTTTCATTTTTCTTTCTTCTTTTACATTCTCCTCTTTATATTTTCATAAACTACCTTTAATTTTGACAATCCATCATCTTCTTTCTTTTCATTCTTCTCTCTTTTTTGTTGAATTCTTATTATTTAATAAACTAATAGTTCTTTTTTTTTTTTTTAGATTTTAATACGTTTATTATGAAGTAATGCAAGGTAAATTTTGTGATTTATACTTTTTATCTTCTTTTTTTTTTTAATTCTTATTACTTGATATACATTTTTTTTGTTATTTTTGGCAAAAACAAGAACATATTTCAAAATAATTAAGGTTAATGCTCATTTTAAATTTATTTATGATTATCTATTACTTTTTATATTATTGGTAAAATTTTTTCATAAATATATTGTTGAGGGACTTGATAATTGTGTTCATTTTACAAATTTTTTTATATAAAATTAATAGAAAATGATATAAGATTAATTTTGAATTTTGTTGATTTTTCAATTTTTTTTTCATTTTTCTGCCAATTATATTCGACAGCATGTTGCTGTCGAATATAGTGTTGCTGTCGAATATAGTATCGCAAAAAATATATATATTCGACAGAAATAGGCTGTCGAATATAATTTCCAAAAAATATATATATTCAACAACTATTAGCTGTCGAATATAATTTTCAAAAAAAAAAAACATATTCGACAACCACTAACTGTCGATTATATAGCTTTAATCGACGGCTAATGCTTTAATCGACAGCTAATGGCTGTCAAATATAACCTTCAAAAATTAAAAAATCTTTATCATCAGCGAAGTTCTGTCAATTGTGTTTATCTTTGACAACCAATATTTATCGATTAAGTTAGTATATTCGACAAAAAAGTTGGCTGTCGAATATACTCATTATCGACTGTATTTTATACAACATACTTGACTGTCGATTATGTCTGTTGATTAAGACATAATTGACACAAATACCTTTATATTCGACAGACTTTTCTGTCGAATATACCTTGTTTTCCAGTAGTGTAAATATTTATAATTAACTTATTAATATATATACATAAAATATATAAAATATTAATTAAAAATAATCTTACATTTGATAATATTTTATACATTTTATTATATTTATTATATATTAATTTCAATAATATTTATTATATATGCCTGAAACCATTCATCCAAAGAAAATAAATCTCCCGGCTAATTTAATT